GCCTTCCTGATTTTGGTGCATTTTTGATGCACTCTTTACCAGACTAAAATTTCTTTTTCCATCACCTTACTGTGTCATAAGACACAAAAGAAAAGCAGTAGAGAGTTCAGTCATCAACTGCAACCAAGAGCAACCCAGTTTTGAGCGAGCTTTGATGTAAACCCGTATTTCATCCTTTTTGTCGACGCTTGTATCAATCATTATACCCCCGCATAATAAAGTTGTAAGGGTGGTATACTGGAATCAGCTTGTCCGTCCGGCTGTCCGGCCGTCCGTCGTTTTTTTCTTGTCCAACCAATAACTTAAGATTCCTTTGACCCTTAGTCTTCATATTTGGTATGAAGGTTAGTCATGATTAGTAGATGACCCCTATTGATTTTGAGGTCACTAGGTCAAAAGCTTGTCCGCCCAATAACTTAAGATTCCTTTGACCCGCAGTCTTCATATTTGGCATGAAAGTAAGTCATGATAAGTAGATGACCCCTATTGATTTTGAGGTCACCAGGTCAAAGGTCAAGGTCACAGGGGCCTTGACTTCAAAAAGCTTGTCTGCCCAATAACTTAAGATTCCTTTGACCCACAGTCTTCATATTTGGCATGGAGGCTAGTCGTGATAAGTAAATGACCCCTATTGACTTTGAGGTCACCAGGTCAAAGGTCAAGGTCACAGGGGGCCTTGACTTCAAAATGCTTGTCTGCCCAATAACTTAAGATTCCTTTGACCCACAGTCTTCATATTTGGTATGGAGGTTAGTCATGATTAGTAGATGACCCCTTTTGACTTTGAGGTCATCAAGTCAAAGGTCAAGGTCACAGGGGCCTTGACTTCAAAAAGCTTGTCCGCATTATAACTTAACATTCCTTTGACCTACAGTCTTTATATTTGGCATGGAGGTTAGTCATGATTAGAAGATGACCCCTATTGATTTTGAGGTAACCAGGTCAAAGTTCAAGGTCACAGGGACTTTGACTTCAAAAAGTTTGTTTGCCCAATAACTTTAATTTCCTTTGACCAACAGTCTTCATATTTGGCATGGATGTTGATCATGATTAGTAGATGACCCCTATTGATTTTGAGGTCACCAGGTCAAAGGTCAATGTCACAGGGACTTTGACTTCAAAAAGTTTGTCTGCCCAATAACTTTAATTTCCTTTGACCAACAGTCTTCATATTTGGCATGGATGTTGATCATGACTATAAAGTGATCCCTATTGATTTTGAGGTCACTGGGTCAGAGGTCAAGGTCACAGGGACCTTGACAAAAATGCAGCTTTTCTTCTCAATTGTTAAAGAATGTCCTGTCCGCAATGTATTGATTTTGACATTTTCACATTTGAAGCATGTAGAATACATAACTTAGCAATGCACTGGCTTAGTAACCTCAGATTTGGCAGGGAGGTTGTCCTTGAGCTCTAAATGGCCACTGTTGATTCTGACAAAGTGGTATGCGGGGGTATTCACGCCATGATAGTGGCAGTTCTAGTTTTTACAACAGTGGTCAATGACTGCATGTTTTTAAATGGCAAATTGTATGTTTTTCTCTTGGTCTAACATGTACATTTATACACCGTTGTGTAGGTATTGAAATACCCTACACAGGTATGTATTGGTTTTTATCGTGCCCCACGCGGATCACCAGATAGAGGACAATAGACAATTCTATATTTTCGAACAGCCCTCGTAAACTAAATAAGGGCGCGCCAAAAATACGACGTCATTTAGTTAGTTTCCAGTATTGTGCACGCTCGTATTTCACTGAAACAACGTAAAGGGCTAAATTCAAAACCATTAAAAATATCAAATTGATATGTTCACTGTTTCAAGTGGTGAAGTATCAGTTTTATATTTCACTGCTACATTCCTATAAACCTCCGAAAAGTATGTAAGTATTTATATTACACGGTATAGTTCACTTATAGGTGACAAATTGTGTAAGCGGCTAGATAGCAATATTGGCAGAGCTAAGGTATATTATTATTCAATGGGTACTAGGTTTAATACACATAGTTTTCATCTTCTGATATTGAGAGAGTGTTACTGTAGGTAGAGAAAAATCTAAAAGATTCAGGGTTCGAGCTCAGGCTACAAAAATATTTATCACGTTATGGCATTGCATAGCAGCTTATAAATTATTTGCATTTATTCATCACACCAACCCTTTTAGATTTCAGCTCTCGAGACAAGCAACATTTTACTATAAAATGTTGTTAAGATTATTTTAAAATTGTAAATATGATTTTAAGCGTTCTGAAATGAAATAGGTTATACTTAATAAACTGTGACGATTAAAGTCATAGCATTTCAAAACAGTAATCAAGGTGACAATTATTAAAGATGTTGTTTTAAAATGGATAGGCTAATTTATATAAACAACGACGTGTGATAAAAGATATGTTAGTTACAGATAATTACAGAAATATAATAGCAAACTTGCGGAGCATACGACTTGTGTTATCTTAAATATATTCAATGAAAAAGTGTGCTTTGTAAAAATACAATAAAATACAGGATGGTAGAGCAAAAGTAAAAAATGAATTCAATTTAATACCACAATCTAAACGTTATATGGAGAAAATCCGTAAAAATATCTTCATATACCTTATTCATACACGTTATAAACACTTGAAATAGTATCACTCCACGTCAGGTGGTGGAACCATTAACAATATATATCCGATGTGAGCGTTTTAGCTCGACTTTTCGCAGAATATTCGAGCTAATGCAGTCACCCGTTTGTCTGCGTCGGCGTCCCTGTGGTTAAGTTTGTTTTGCGTGAAAGCTTGTATCTCCATACATTCTGAAGGGAATTGACTTAAACTTCACACACTTGTTCTCTGTGATTATCTAATATAATTGTCACAGGTCCCATATCTCTGATTTTGCCTTTATGCATAGTTATGCCCCTTTTCGACTTATAAATGCTTGGTTACGTTTTTGCGTGTAAGCTGGTATCACCATAACTATTGATTGGAGTTGATTGAAACTTGACATACTTGTTCTCTGTGATCATCTTACGTGATTGGCACAAGTCCCATAACTCTGATTTGCTTTTTTGCATATTTATGCCATTTTTTCGACTTCTTGGTTAAGTTTTGCTTGTAAGCTGGTTTTTCCATAACTACTGAAGTGTTTGTGCCTTTTTTGTGAAAATTTTAAACATTCATAATAATCAAGCAGTAATTAACTCGATAAACCATCTTAATAACAAGCCTTTGTACCTGTTCAAACAATTTCATTTTAGGTAAGCATTATTATACTCAATAAAACACCCTTGTGATAACTTTTTCGAATAGTCGAGCGTCGCTGTCCTCCGACAGCTCTTGTTTTATATATTCTCACTTCGGAAGAAAATCAGTTATTCTCTAATCTACTATAAGCATCAAATAAGTAACAACAAAAACTTTACGAATAACGATTACATTTTTTACTACAAATAGTATTTACTTGACCCTAAAGATTATTTCGCTACATAAGAAGGGGACCACCCAATGTATATCCTATTAAACACATATTTTCATATTTGTTAAAAATATACCTTTAAAACTCGTTTTCTGGCTATAACTTTTGGCTGCATGATTAAATTTCAAATTAAACATGTGTATGTTATTACCGTGTATGCATTGTTCAAGGTGAATGTCTCGGTAAACGTTTTGCCCGTGTCTTAAATGCAGCTGAAATTCGTCTCCGGTGCATTTTTATATATACATACATGCACGACTTGAAGACCAAACATCAACTCTTTGTTGTGCCGCACCTTCAAAGTAATTTCTGATGTGTAAAGTTATATTCTGCCATGCTTACATTTGTTTCTTTATTATTACTTGAGAAAGAACTGCCGTATTTAAAATTGTAGTATTTGGTGTACGTATGTCTTTAACACAATCAGATGATGTGTGATGTGTAAAGCCACTTGTTAAAAGACAATGATCTAATTAGAGGTCAAAATGTGTAATAAGTTATAGTCGTTATCTGGAAAAAACAACTACGATGCTGTCCGGTAATCTTGCGCACCTTAGCACTTATCGGCTAATTTACTACGATTCAAATAAATACAAAAAAATCATAATAATTTTCCTATTTGCAAAAATCTTAAAGACATATAATGACACAAATATTTTTGGAAATAAGCAATAGTGCAACGATGTAATGTTTCTTGTATTAAATAAGATTAAATAAGATAACATTTCATTTGGTAAATTAATTTTGCACAATAAGTAACTTTTAATTACATGTATTTAATCTTTTAGGTACGCTTCTGTATCTATTAAATAGATATAGTTCAGTTGCTTAACAAGGTGGGGTAATCGTATGGTATATAACGCGTTTAATTTCTTAAGTTCCGTTGAGTGTTTTGATTAATATGAACAATTAAAACTTCACATAATTCGAGAGTCCGAATTCTAACTTGATATTGGCGTTTTTCATCGAAAAGCATAAACCAGTTGATGTTGAAAAACAAAAAGAAATCTAAATCATAACTAAGCAGAAACAAAACTTTAACTCAACATCACTTATCTCATCTCCTCCAATCTCTCATAACATCTATAATTTAGACGACCATTATCTAAGTTTAAATTCGTTAAACATTTAAACGTTTTGTACTTACGATTCCCATTAAAATTATTTTTAGTTTGAATGGTGGAATTGATTAACTCGCGCTGATATATAGGAAAATAGACAGATTGAAAGGCACATCAATTATCTAAGAGCTAGAATACATACTTTCAGGCTTTTGAAAGATAAGTTTCAGTAGTTAAATAACACTTCTTGCTTCACTTTGTCTATTCACCTACAGTCATCATAGTGTCTTATTGAAAATGGGAAATGTTTATCAAACATATTCAATTCAAAATATTGTGCATATGGCCATCATACAATCATACAATTACTCATAACAATTGTAATGCAGATGATGCCATTCTCAACACAAGGGTAAAAATGTGACTTTAAGCAAACATTATCCATTTTTAACAATGAACACTTTTTATTTAAGGAAAATAAGACAATGACATAACGTATTAGAAACAGCAAACCATGGCTGCAGCTGTGCCGACTGTGTCTGTACCTTTATCAAATTCTAAATTCTTCAATTGGATAAAGGCTGCACTGGCTGTGTTTTATACTAAAGAAGAAATAGAGCCAGTTGTTATCGATGAAGTCAAATATTTCCAACAAAACTGTCTACATACTATTTCCTCTTCAAACAGCTTACCAGCCGGAAGCACATGTTCGAAGTGCTGTACGGAAAATCTGATTGTTTGTCCAACAAACAGAATTTGCAACGTAAATCGTGGAAAATGTTATTATCATAAAAATGTTGCAACTCAGTTTCGCCCGTCTGGATGCCCAAATAAGATTTGTCATAATCTAAAATCTGAGATTGAAAAAGCACATCGATATCACGGTCCATCGTATAAAAATACAGACGCAACAAAATGGTGCAGCAATGCCTGGGAAATTGCCAAGTGTTATCTCCCGCCAGACGGATACAAAGATGTATCGAATGCTTCAGAGACTAATTTTAATGGCATCATTAGTGTCATTATTAATCACAAAGGATTTGAGGCGAAAATAAAAGACGATTTGTCCAAGAAGAATAATATATTTGACAAGGTAACAGTTGAATAATATATTTATTGTATACTTAATTTGGTTTTTAAATTTCCTTTAATTTTACAACTGTTTGCTCCATATAGGGAAGCAATTAAAGATCGTACGAGTCATTATTGAAGCAATTGACTACATAACACCGTTTGGTTATTTTTGTTTCAAATCTCAGTCTGTCCATCTTTTTACTGTAAATACCAAAATTTGTTGAGATTCATCTTTAACGTATACATGTATTTGTTAAAGAAATATCGCATCTGAATTATTCACTTGACCAAACTATATTAACATATTTGATTTTAGGGTCGAGATGTTGGTAAAACTGTCAGACATTCTCCTAATCTGGAGGTCGAGGATACAGATCTAACACAGTATTTTACCATTTTAAACAACATTTTGACCGATCCTGGATTCGTAGCAATGAATAAATCACCAAACAATGCAATTCAGAAATTGGCTAAGGTAATCATTTTTGTATCTTTTTTCTACCACGACTATGCGAATAATAGTGAGGGTATCCTACTTAACGGGTGTCAGAACCTAAATCATTCGCTTCTAACTTAAACCACTGAATTGTCATCTTGAGAATAGTTTTTTTGACTGGATTTCGACGCTTAATGAATTAAAAAAAAACCTTGGTTAAAGTTTTGCATACACCATCAACCCTATCTTCAGAAATGTTTAAAGTTTCCACTTGAGACTTAACATAATTATGTTTTTAGATCAAAATAAAAGGTCATAAAATAATCTTGAAACGTAGTGGTATTGCCTTTAAAGTTATCAATCAAACAAAAGCTATTCAGCTGTTTCAAGAGTAAAGCCACCATCAAACTTAAGACAACGGCTTAATTAATTATACAAAATGATGCAAATAAAACAATCATTATGTCAAATTTAGCTTTGTAATCCTGACATTATTTACTAGTTCTTATGAAAGTTACCCTTACTGTTTGTTGACTGTTTTTAAACAAAACCCTCTCAAGGGAATAAGGTAATTAAGCCGATATTCTTGCACTTATTGAAAAAGAATTAACTTAAAAAATGAAAAAAAGTCTTATTTATAAATACTCGTATAAATATCTTTTTTAAAAATGTTCTATGAAATTCCTGGCATTCCTGAATAACTTTTCATAGATGTTTCAAATTGTTTTATCTTTGAAAAGACTAGGACAATCCGGGTATAAAACATTTAGGAAAAAAGACAAATAATTAAATAAATTGCTCATGTATGAACTGAGGCACTATACATGTACATGACACAGTATTGTTTAAGGATTGATAATAAATAGTTCAATGCACTCAATCCTCTTTCCATAATTTCAGCTTCAAAGTGACGATTTGATCATTGGAAAAGACGTTGTACGTAAAGTTTTGGACGATGTAGGAAAAACAATTCAGGAACAAATAAGAAATGAGATGGATGTGTACAAGCAGAAGACTGAAGAAAGAAAATTAGAGCTAATTAACAGTGTTAACTTGAAAATAAAAGATATTGAAGAGAAGGGAAATGTTTCACTTGCCAAGCTGAAATCATCTATTGATGCTTTTGAGACTAAGGTGACAGAATCTATTCAAGAGATAGACAGTCGGACAAGGAAAGGAATAGAAACCATTGAAAGTGTTACCAATGATGGCGTTCAAAACGTCAAAGAAGAAAAAGAAAATGCAATAAAGGAGATACAAAAAGCTGCAGAAAAATGTAAGACAATACTTTAGTTATCTAAGCCTACTTATATTCTTACAAACATAAGCTTATCAAAAATGACAAAAGGTACGTTAAAAAAAATGTTCATACATTTAATTTATTCAAATAATTTTTATTATTTCTATTTTGCATGGCAATACGGATCATACTTATATCTTAATTTTCTTAGAGTTTGACATGCATTATGCTTATTAAAATATGCTTTCAGCAAAACGTAACGATGCCGCAGTGAAATCGACCATTGATTCTTTTGAGGCTAAGGTGACAGAATCTATTCAAGAGATAGACAGTCAGACAAGGAAAGGAAAAGATTCCATTGAAAGTGTTACCAATGATGGCGTTCAAAATGTCAACAAAGAAAAAGAAAATGCAATAAAGGAGATACAAAAAGCTGCAGAAAAATGTAAGACAATACTTTAGTTATCTAAGCCTACATATATTCTCACAAACATAAGCAAATCAAAAATGACAAAAGTTAAACAAATTTTGTCCATAAACTTACTTTATTCAAATGATTTTTATTATTTCTTTTTTGTATGGCAATAAGGATCATATTTATTTGTTAATTTTCTTCGATTTTGTCATGCATTATGCTTTTTGAAATATGTTTTCAGCAAGAGGTAACGATGCCAATGCTAAGATCTCTGAGGACACTTATAAAAAGAAGAAAGAAGGTAAGAAAAACATTTATGAATGTACCACCTTCGTTAATGGCTCTTTTACATGTTTGAATTATAGCCCTTGACACTCCCTTTGAAGATCCCCGCCAAAATAAAGCTAGGGAAGGTAAACATCCGATCTAAACGAACATTCACATCTTTTAAATATAGGATGAATGCTTTGCCACGTAGAACATTTTTCTGATCATTTTGGATGTTATCCGATACGAAACACTCAAATTGACGTTGCTAGAATGAAATATCAACTTGTCTGTTTTCGTTTACATAAAGAAACATCTTAAGTGATATCCCTATAGTGAAGTAAATATTTTTTTCTACTTTATCTTGCATGGAACATGATTCTAACCCTACCCTTGGCCCAACGCCAAAAAACAGTTTACAGATGTAATGTTTACATGCGATTAAGCATCCCACAACTTTTAAATCTTGTTACATTGCTTTAACGAGACTACTTCGTGCTAAACACAACATTTAACCAATTCATGAAAGTTAATCTTTATGCAATAAGGACTATAAATGCATATTAATCGGCATAATTCCACATTGTCAACATTTACTGAATAAAAGTGCTGGCTCCATTACATTTGTGAGGACTTGTTTAACCTTGTCAATGACTTGATCACATTTGAATAAATGTAAGTGATTTATTTTTAACTTTGCTCTTTGAACTGATTTGTGTTGAGCCAAAACTGAACGTTTGAACAATGTTACATGCAAGATAAAGTGGATCAACATTAATTTCAAGGGAGGGAAATCACTCAAGATGTATGTTTATCCTTTCGAAAAAAATATATGAAAAAACAAGATTAACAAGGATGGGTTGCAGTTAATGAACACATGCCCACACCGCAACATGGAACTACCAGCAAGATGCACAACAGGACACCTAACAAAACCAGGACAGAACACAAGGCAAAGCATGGACGAGTTGTCAATTTAAGTAATACATAATAACAAATTATAGAAAATGACAAGTAATTAAAAAAAGATGATAAGTTAATATGCACAGGAAACACAGTGTTTATATTAAGTAAAATTCTAGTAACATCAGTTAGGGGTATTTAGTATTAGAATTGAACCCAACGTGATCAGAATAATGTTCTACGTAGTTGCTGACTTGATATAAGTGGCTATAACTATGCGTTTTTTGGACTGTCAAATTCAATTAAAATTATTTTGGAGGATTGCGCTACAAGTTAACTAGACAGACCTTGACCTTCACTGTTTTTCTCTTTAATTTTCTTTAAACTTTTTTATTTAAACCGTTTATTTGTTTTCTTTAAAAAGTGGCTCTTTGATCTTAACAAAACATGTCCTCTGAATCAGATATGTTTACTTGTTTCAGCTTTGTATTAGTTTAAAGTTGTAATATACCCTACATACTTTATACACTTTATACAAACGATAATAGGTAGCCAAATATACATATGTGTCTTAACTGGGAAACTGAATTATAAAAATGGGATGATTGGTTTAATAAAACATAAAACCTTGCGCATTGGGTGCGATTAAATGATTGAATGTTTCGTAATATTAACGACAAATGATACAACATTTCCTACTGACTCTTATCTTAGACTAGTATTGTGCCATTGAATGATTTACTGGTTTGATCGGCAATAATTTTGTGCACTGCATATTGTGATTAAAACAGCAGTGTACCTAGAAAATGCTTGATTTTTATTTGCAAATTCATTTCAATCTTTTATCTAGGAGATTTATATGTAATCTTCATTTTTTGGACATTTTATGCTTATTTCCACATGATTATGCGTTATTCAACATAGGATCCATCAGAGGTCACCAATGATACGCAATTGCATTCTTATTTATTTTGAAATGAACATGTGTTTTGCAACAATTAATATATCAGAGATCACAAAGTCCGTGCCATAAATGAAAAAAAAAATGCACAATGATGCTGCTAGAGCACATGACATTGCATTGAGAGTGAAACTTGGTGCTGTACCAAATACCTTAACTTTGCATATCTGAAGCTGTTGGCTGCTATATACTGCAGTTAGCGTTACAAAACCTTATACCTATGGAAACTAGGCAACGGATATCTACGTCTCAATAACAACACTTGAAATGCTAGACTCTCATTCATCGACGAAGTTTTAATGCGTGTGCATGCAATTAGGAGGCAAATATTTACCATGTACCATCTCTAATTTAAAAAGCAAGACAGATGACATGTGTATTCACCAATTAGGAAATATAAAACATTACTTGGAAGCATCTTACAGACGTACTCGATTGTAAAGAAACGCAATGAAAAATGCATCTACTGTAACATAATGGAATGGGATCTGTATGAGCTGACCCAGTTATGGTTTGTAGAGGAATTTGCTTATGATAAAAGCACAAAGCTTTATGTGTTTAAGGAGGTTAAAGTTGCTGACTTAAGATCACAGGTCCCTCAACGCTGTAGGTTCGATCCTCACTCAGGTCGAAATCTCCCATGTGAGGAAGCCATCCAGCTGGCTTACGGAAGGTCGAGCTTACGGAAGGTCGATGGTTCTACCTAGGTGCCCGCTCGTGCCTGTAATAATGACCAAAGGGCACCTGGGGTCTTCCTTTGACACCGATACTATAAATAGAAAAAGCTTTTCCGATTTTCACAGGTCAAACTTCTAATGGGATTTAATTGAATGTTCACAGGAGTAATCAGTACCATCCAAAGTTGTGCTTATCGCCGGCACGTTCATTTAATTGCACAAAATGGCCGCCAGAGCTATCAGTTAAAAAATAATCTATCACAGGTCAAACTGCAAACGGGATCTCAACATTACTTCACAGGAGTAATCATTACCATACCTAGTTGTACGTTTAGCTTCGCTGCAAAAACGACCACCAGAGATATACATAGATTTCCCGACTTTCATTAGACAAACTGCTGACAGGATTTCGACAAAACTTCCCAGGAGTCAACTGTACCAGCCCTAATTGTGAATCTTTTCAGAAAGTTCTGCATCGTTGCACAAAATGGCTATCAAATCATAAAGTAGAAAATCATTGACCGGCTTTTACAGGTCATACTTCTCTCAGGTTTCCGACCAAACTTCAGAGGAATTATCAGTACCAACCCTAGTTGTGCAGTCGCTGGCTTCACAAAAAGGTCGCCAAATTTTAATAAAAATATTGGCTGGTTGTCACAGTCCAAATGTGTGACGACAATTTGCTTAAACTATAACGGAACTAACCTAAGTTGTGGATATCTGCTTTGCTGTACAAAATGGGCCTCCAGAGGTAAAAATAGAAAATTCGTATCCGACTTTCACATGTCAAACTGCTTGTGGGATTGCGACAAATCGTCATAGGAGTATTAATCACAATTGTGCCAAGTGTGGGCATATTCAACATCACTGCACACAATGACTGCCAAAGCTAAAAATAGAGAACTAAAGTTGTATGGCTGTCATAGGACAAACTGCTGGGGAAATTCGCTGAAACTGTACAGAAGTGATTGGTACCTACCCTACTTGTTCATCTTACCGGCATGTTCCGTTTCATTGTACAAAATAGACGCGAGAGCTAAAATAAGAAATACGTGTCAAGTGTTCATAGATTAAACTGCAAATAAGATTTCTGCGAAATTTCTCAGAACTGATAAGTACCAATCCTTGTTACGCATATCCCTCGCACATTCCGCTTCGCTTTACAAAATGGCCGCCAGAGTTAAATTTCCTCAGAAACGAAAAATGTTTAACCTCTTTAGAAAGGAAAGGACAAAACTAAATTTTGTAAAATTTAAATAATGATTTTAGGGCAAGTTAAATTCTTGTTACCTGAAGATAGCAAGGTAAGTGTAAAATTAATATTTTTACTTCCATATCAAATACCAAAATCCCTAGAATTCTACAAAAATGCAGTGATCAGTACCAACCATAGTTGTGAGAATTGCTGCTACAATGCTGAACAAAATTGCATTCAAAACTAAAAATAGAAAAATCTTTTCCGCCTTTCACAGATCAAACTGCTAGAAGGAATAGAAGGGATTTTCACAGATGTAATCAGTATAAACCATTGTTATGCATACCATCATCACGTTCTGCTTCATTGCACAAAATGGCCACCAGAACTAAAAATTGAAAAAAGCCTGTCTGGCTTTTACTGGCTTTTACCGTCCACACCTAGCACGACTTAAGCAGAATTCAATATTTAACATGAAATTATAAAATTTGAAACATTCACAGATGTGTTCTTGCGACGTTTATCATGTAACCTTCAATATGACATGTAAGCCCCTTTCAATTAAAAGCGGCGTATAGTCCTTAAGTAAATGAATGCGTGTACTCTAAACGAGAAAACGATTGGCAGATATATAT